ATTGAAATCGATCATTTTGGTAAAACGCACGATTTCGGCATGTTTAGACTATTGTTAGATTATTGTTAGAATATTGATACGCGCAGAAATGCACGAGGAATGCAATTTTTGTTTCAACTGCAAGCTTCACTCGGAATTTTCATGATCTCCAATTACATAGTTTATATTTTTTATTCTTTAAGATTCTTATTAAGTTCATTATTATCACTTTAATTTATAAATGTATTTATTTTATACAATTCCAGTTCCTCCTTAATTAATTTTTCGTTCTCATTAGTTGTTTTTCTTTTTTTCAAACTTCCTCTCCCTTTCAAATGAATACTGACTGGTGCCACGATTCGCTTATTCTGCCTACTTTCGACGCAATGAATGCACACGAACACAACACGCGACATCCGACACAGCCGGAGAGAAAGACACGCAGCCGGAATGCGATCAGATGACAGAATTAAGATGCAGAAGTGGCGAATGCGTACCTTTAGAATCCCGCTGTGACGGTGTATCACAATGCAACGATAGTTCCGATGAGGACAACTGCCCAACAGATTCATTGAATAAGACACGCGACGGTAAGTATGCGGCACTCCGCACTACGTGATCTTCTCCCTGCAAAAGATAAAAAACTGTACATAATGCTAGATCATTGTTGATAGCGCTTATCTGTAAAACTCATTATTTTTATCCTTTTCTTCTGATTAACGAAAATTACAATGTGGCCTATGTGCAAATATACAAATGTACGTTGTAATATAAGTATAAGCATGAGTTTCGTCGTAAATATCAGCATGATCTATTTATTATTATATTAATTTTCTAATTGCATTAATTTATAATTAATACGAATTACCGCGTTTACATATATATGTCTCTTAAAACTATCTTTGAATATCTCTCAGATTTTTCATGGAGATTCAACTCGCCAGTGTGGCGAGCTCTACTATAGATTTTCTGTCTATCATATTTTCTACTTTTATCTTCATTATCGTTCGTTTTAAATTAACTCTTTCCTAACGTTTTCAATCTTGCCTAAATAACACAGTTCATTATAAATTTATTTTTTAGTATTTTATGTGGCTACAGTAAAATAACTTATATAAAACAAATACTTATATTTAGGAGAATATAATTTTTTAGAAATTTATTTGAACAAGAATATTACACAAAAATGATACAGAAAGAATGATTTTACTGAAGTATCATATTTAATTATGTAGGATGCTCAAATTGGTTGCTGGACCGTCAAAACTTTTTGTAACATTGTTTTTTTTTTTCATCATGCTTGAGTTTTCTATAATTATATATAATAATTATATATAATTATTTTGGTCTAACAAAGTTATATTTTCAGATCTGTATCTACCTAAATTTTTAATTCAGCAAAATCGTACTTTCCCTGTATAATATTCTTGAAAACTAGATTTTTTCTATTTACATATCTTTTTATACTCAATTCTAGGAACATACAAAAATCAATAAAAAAATCAGTTGATTTTATTTTGATTTCAATGAACAGTCAAATGTTGTAACCAAAAATTATTATTTTGACTTTCATGACATCAATTTTGATTTTTTTTTGACTTGGTATGTTTTTTGGGAAGTAATACTACAAGCAAAACGAAAGCACTGATTGAAAAATCTAGTATCACTATGTCATCTTTTTATCTAATTCATATTCTTCGCTAACAAGCGTGTAAAAATCGCATGTTGCAACCGTCAACACTGAAACTACGTTGATAAACGAAACAACAGATTTTGAATACACCACCGTGACATCACAACATCCCTCGCTACATTTCTCGACGGAGACGACTCACACGGTAAATCCGGAAGTACCGGATATCGACGACAAGCAGATCGAAGAGACCACACTGAGGTCGTCTTCGAACAAGTGCCGCGCCGATGACACGGTACGCTGTCACGACGGCAGTCGTTACATCTGTTCGGTACAGCAGTGCGATGGCGTTCCGGACTGCGATGATGGTGGTGACGAGATCGATTGCCCGCATCCAGGTACAGATTGAGTCGGTTGACTTTCGCCAAGGATCGGGCGCTAAAAGTCGGCGAACTAGAAGAACCGCCTCTCATTATTATAACGGAAACGACTTAATTAAAAATCGAAGAACGGTATAGTTTTGAAATTATTACAATAAAAGAATTAAAAAAAAAATAGGAATTATAGGAATTATATTCTTCTTCAATAGGAATTATATTCGCGGAAACTTAAAATAACAAAAGCGGTTCTTCTAGTTAAAAAATGTGTACTTAACTTTGTATTCTTAATGTATGTATGTGTACATATATACATAAATATGTATATATAAGCTTCTTTTTGTAATGTGATATCCTTTTATACACAATCAATTTTTATACACAATTATTGGGTATATATAAGTATAATATTACTGTGTGTGTATGGCTATTCCTTACTTCAAAAGTGAATAATTCAAAGAATTAATTAATTAATTATTTTCCAGAAATAGGGAAAAATTATTTTTCAACTTGACAGAAAATTGTTGACTGATTAAATAATATCGCAGCAAAAAGAATATATTCTTAACATGATCAAATGTCATTTTTATTATTTTTGTTTTACAACTTTTTAAATATCACCCTTCTTGAGTTTTTTTTAATCATTTTGACAATTTTTTTATAGATTTAAATTATTTTCTTATGGTTGATGATAATAAGATAATGTTTTTTATTTGACTCATTCATGATAATAACTCAGAAATCATGTTTTTTAATTGGATTACTTTTGAAACAAGGAAGCAATGTTATATATGAGCTCTGCTTATAAAGTTTCAATTACATGTTTTATTCTTGTTTTATAAAATTGTATGTATATTATTAGAATTAGTAAGCTTTTGTATCGATGCATGTGCTAACGAGAATGAAATTCTCATATGTTTTTTAACGCTTTTTATATTAAAAGATAAATTCTTGTATTTTTATCAATATTATATACGACTGCATTTTTCGAATTTAAAAGCATATTGTGAAAAAATTGTAATGAAAGTATCTACTACACGTAATAACGATTTACGTTTTTTACAGGCTGTAGTGCTGGCGAGTTCGCGTGCGACGTAAACAGATGTATATTGGAATCTCAACGATGCAACTTTGTGGAGGATTGCCAAGATGGTAGCGACGAACATGACTGCAATTATCCAGGTAAGTATCTCGATTTTTATTGTAATGTATGATATTTAATCTTTCAGTGTCCTAGTGTGGCATACTCGTTTCTTTTAATTTACTCTGTTATGATTTTTTTATTAATAAAGATACATACATTTGTTAATATGTTTATTTTTAAGCGATATTTTTATATAATACCCATGTGATATTGTATAAAAATATTGCATAAAAATAGATATAAAACGGTAGAGTATCGAAGGATTAAAAATGAATCGCAGAAACTCTTCTATTCAAGTAAAATGTATTCTTTGGTCTCATAAAATGGACGTAAAAAATAGAATTATATATACATATTTATGTCCATCTAATTTTATACATACATATGAATATAATCAGATGAATAAAAAATGGAACAGCCGCGGTTTTAATGTTAACTTGTTCTATGAAATTAACAATCCAACTCTCATAGAAGCATCTATCGCATTTATTATAAATAATATTACAAATAATATTACAAACATTTATTTTTACTTTAACTCATTCTCATAAAATATTAATTAAACTTTGAAAAATATATATATTAAGAAAATATGACAATAAAAATCAAATCAATTATCCACTTTGATTTTACGAAATCTCGGTTTTACCGACCGCCTGATAACGAACGGTGCATATTATTCTTAAACAAACCAGCATCTTACCTACGACCGTTAGTTTATCAATCTGGACGAAGAGTTGAGCGTACATAGACCAGTTACCTGTTCTACCGACTTAAGGAATCGATAGAGCCGTCATCCTTTGATACTCTTTTCCACCCCGTTAGAACTTCACTTATCAAGATCGACGGTTTATCGGCGACGCGTATCTGTCCCGACGCCGCGACATTAATTCAAATCGGTCTGCCCCTCGTCCAACCAGTAGGCGTTGGTACAAATTTCCGGCGACGTGTCTCTTCCACAAACGACAAAGCGAATCCCTAAGCAGCAAACGGAAGCTATGGTTTTTCCAGTAGAAAAATAAGGTCAGACGGGGGAGGCCGGCGCACACCGGTACATACCTACTGAATATTCAAAGCTCGAGGACTTTTTCTCCTATCCCGCGTCGTCGTCCCGCGCGTCCCCCTGGCCTTTTTTCCCCATAGTTTTCTCCGCCTTCGAGTGGAGGACGATCGTGGTCAACAACGTGGAAGCGCCGGATACCGGCCGGTGTTGTAAAGCCCACCCGATTGCGGCTACACGTACGGCGCTTTGTTGCGCGAAAGCCAGCTTAATTAGACAGCTACGCGCGTTCGGCCGGGGTAAATTAGCTCAGTGGTATCGGCTTGTGAATTATATTCTCGCACCTTCCTCTCGGAAAGCACGAAGAAATATCGAGTAATCGCGGTTCACGTTACTTGACTAATTACGTTGTAACTTATGTTATAACTTACAACATATGTTACTATATTTGTATTTTTTTTTTTTTTTTTTTTTTTTTTTTTAAAATAA